TGCTATACCACATGGAGCTTTCCATCGGAGGCCAGCAGTTTATTGGAAAGGGACGCACGCGGCAGTTGGCCAAACATGAGGCTGCTGCCAAGGCCCTGAACGTTTTATACAAAGAGCCAATACTGCAAGAGTTACCAGAGGTGAGAAAAGGAAGCAGAAACCCGGCATTAAAAAGTGCTACAAAGAAATTGGATTTAGACTTGAATGGCTTTTCTTTCTTTAATATGCTTTCTGCTCCTAACAGATGAATGGAGAGCCTGAGGAGGAGAACCTCAACAAATCAGAAATCAGCCAAGTGTTTGAAATTGCACTTAAACGCAACTTACCTGTCAACTTTGAGGTGATTACCTAAATGAAATACATTTGAGCATCAGTTTAGTGATACGTCGACAAGATGTTTGACCTAGCCCTGTTTCTTATCAAGTTTAAATGTAGAACATGAATGCTCCTCTCCATCATAGTTTGTCACTGTTGTTTTTCAGGTTTTAAAAGAAGACGGCCCCCCCCATATGAAGAGTTTTATAGTGCGCGTTGCAGTCGGGGAGTTCACTGGAGAGGGTGAAGGAAAGAGTAAAAAGATTGCCAAGAAGTTGGCAGCAGCATCGGTGCTGGGAGAGTTGAAAAGGCTACCACATATACCCAGTGTGGAAAAGACACTGCCACGCATCAAAAAGAAAACCAAATCCATCATCAAGGTAAAGGGAGCTGTGAGCAGCAATACGGAAAATCACGAACGGACCCTAAAAACTTCATTAAAGGTCACCTATTATGCAAAATCCACTTTTTCATGTCTTTTCTACATAAACATGTGTCCCCTCTGTGGAAAGAGATTCTGAAAGTTTCAGGAGAAAAGATTCACTCACTTTTTGTCCTAATCCATTTATATAAAAACCTGTCTGAAAATAAGCTGATAAATGTTTTTGCCTTGTGTAACCATTAGCCAATACCAACCAAGGTACCCCCCCCCCCACACCTTATCACCTGAATCTCCTCCTAGAGCACCATGGTGTTCTTTTTAACCAAATATCTCTGAGGGGAGTGGCTCCTTATTTTCATCTAAAGTAACAGACACAGAATCAGCACTTTTGAAACAGGGCTGAAACAGAGGGGATTATGGGATGTTTGTATATATCTGAGACCTCTAATATATGGATGAAAAACAGTATGATACCTTTAAGTGACTTTTGACCTCACATCCACAGCTGCAGACCAGCCCAGAATATGGCCAGGGAATGAATCCCATCAGCCGCCTGGCTCAGATCCAGCAGGCCAAGAAGGAGAAGGAGCCGGAGTACAGCATGGTGACGGAGAGAGGTCTGCCTCGGCGCCGGGAGTTCGTCATGCAGGTGATTCAACAGCAACGGATGCCTTCCCTTAACTTCTGCAACTGTCTCTGATATCCTCTGCTTTGTTTGTAGATTTCTCCCCAATCATCTTTTTCATGTGTTTTGCTGCATGTTTTCTGCCACAGGTGACGGTGTGCAGTCAGACTGCAGAGGGAATGGGGCCCAGTAAAAAAGTGGCCAAGAGGAACGCAGCAGAGAAAATGCTGGAGCTCTTGGGATATAAAGTGCCTCAGCCTCAGCCCCCTAAACCGGCTCTGAAAACTGATGAGAAGGTACTGCCTCGCCTCCTGTCAATCATTATAAACCTGGCAGACAAGGAAGATTTCATTTGTGACATTCTTTTGTATTGTTTAGACCCCAGTGAAAAAACCAGGTGATGGGCGCAAAGTGACCTTCTTCGAACCTGGCTCTGCAGAGGAGAGGACATTGAGTAAGTGTCAACATATCTGCTGGACTGAAATATTTAGCTGAGGTCATATTCATTTATTTCAGTCAATAATACAGCGCTTATAAATGTGCTTTTTCCTTTTGAAGTGACCAAGGACCAGGACTTCCGCCTGCCTTACATGAACCACCACCAGCAGCTTCCTGCCGGTATCCTTCCCATGGTCCCTGAAGTGGCTCAGGCAGTCGGAATCTGCCAAGTGTCCCAGGACTACAGTCGAGCTGCACCCAACCCCGGCATGGCCACCATCACTGCTATTATTGCCAACGAGCTGCTCTACACAGGGACGTCACCGACTGCTGAGACTATCCTACAGAACAAGAACAATCTGAACCAACTGCCCCACGGACCCCTCACCAGGCCTTCAGAGCAGCTCGGCTTCCTTTCATCGGTGCAGAACCTGCAGGTAACTGACGGCATGTTCCACTTCGGGGAGTTCAGTAACGCCCTTAGATTCAAGATTGAAGGCTTTTATTGTCATATGTACATAGCCACGGTGTAGTTATGACAATGACATTCTTAGGTCACAGGCTCCTCCAACAGTGCAACACAATAAAAGAGATAATAGGGCAAAATAAAATAGAATATAATAGAAAGTACCAAAAGTAATTGGAATATATATATATAAGTATAAGTTACAACCAGATGAATGTTATGGATGTTCTTTCAACAGTTCTTAGTGTGCATGCATTTGATTTGGACAAAAACATGTTGAGATTTATTGAAATATTGTATTTTCTGCAGGTGGAGTACAAAGATTTCCCCAAAAACAACAAGAACGAGTTTGTGTCCCTGATTAACTGCTCCTCCCATCCTCCGCTCATCAGTCATGGGATTGGGAAAGATGTAGAATCCTGTCATGATATGGTGAGTGTTTTTCTAAGTGTGAAATGTATTGTTTCCATTTATTATCTTTACAAAGCTTTTTCTATTCTATGTCCAGAATGCATGTCCCTAAACTTACAATGCAAGTTATCACATTGAGAGAAATGATGAGGTGTTTGGAGGCCTCAGATTGGGCCAGGATATCACACTAATAGGATAATGCTGGAAACAAAGGGCTTCAAGAGGGTCACTCACCATAACAACATCCAATGTTGACAAAGCTGGACGGATTAGTTCTCAGTGCATCATATGCTGCCAAGCGTATCATTAAGCCCTACCTTTTCCACAGCTAATTACTGCTCTTGCACAGAACAAAGCAAGTGTTACGATAATAGCTGTCCGAGTTTTCTTTTATTTCCTTTTGTACTGGAATTTGGGACAATGCAATAACCTTGAACCTTTACTGTTCTTCACCTCTTCAGGCTGCATTGAATATATTGAAGTTGCTCTCGGAGTTGGACCAGCAGTCAAATGAAAGGACAGGAAATGGACCAATCTCTCGGTAAGCTGTGACCAACACTGTCTCTCTGGCTACTTATAGCTGTTTAACATAAACCTTTCATCGTGCTAATGAACAGAATCAGTAATCAAGAAAATGCTACATGTAAACACTTCAATCAGCATTAAATGGTTTGCTCTGAAGATGTTGCTTATCAATTTTCCAAGTGCTGCATGTTTCCCAGGGAACCTTAGGAGATCATCTATTAATGTTCTGAAGATAGCCAGACACAGCCCTTGCTTAATAACCCAGAATGTATTCTACTGTTATTAAAGAAGTAGCTTGTGAGTTGCTCCCGATGGCATGGCCAACGGTGTGTGAATGTTAGGTCCTAGAGCAAGTGGTACTGCTCTGTATGAATGGGTGTGAATGGGTGAATGACATGTAGTATGTAAAGCGCTTTGAGGGGTCGTAAAGACTGGATAAAGCGCTATATAAGTACAGTCCATTTACCATTTACCATTTGTATGAAAAGCACAGTGTTAAACTGGCAATCGTTGTAGGTACTCAACACGTCTCACAGTCTAAGGCTGGATTTGGTGGTGTTGCTGTCTATTCTTTAAAACATGACCCAGCGCACATGTAAATGCTACACACAGGTGCACGTAAACACAGCTATCAAAGTCATATTTTGGGTCAGATGAACTGTTAACACTGACTCTGTGACTTATTCTCCTCAGGTGTGGCAAGCAGGAGATGGAAGGTGACTTGCACCTGAAACAGGCTAACTCAAGCACATTGACACAGACTCTGGACGGCACTGTTTAGATGATCAGTGGTCTGTAAAAGCACTAGAGAAAACTCTGACACTGTGTTCTTAGTTTTAGACGTTTACAGGAAGCTTCCGGGTCTGTAGACGCTAAACCATCACTGTTCATATTCACCTTTCCAAGATGTTAAACAAGATCGATAGGAAAAATAGGTCCCTCCCCTTGATTTTGTTTAATTTGTACACAGTATTTATTTTTTTGCTTTTAGAAAAAGTAGCTGCATCCTAGCCAATGAGTCTGGGGTTTATTTGGTGGGGGGGGAAAGACGCGACTAACTGTGAATTCTGTTTTGTTTAGCCTAGAACTTGTTTCCTCTCTGTAAGAACTTTCTTCTTGTTTTTAAGTATTTGACGTTTGATCCCCTGCTGAGGTAGTCCTTTAAACTAGCTCTCATAAAGGTCACAACCCCATCTTTGTCTAGGGTGCAGCTGGCGAACCTCTGTTGATTTTCCTAGAGTGCTTTACATAAACAACCACACGTGTTATTGACATTACCATGTAGGGCTGGGTTACTAAATGTAGCGTTTGATGTAATGTGACGTTGTCTCTGCTGTGTGGCAGCGATGTTTCCCTGATGCTTCCTCTCTCTCTCTCTCTCTCTCTCTCTCCGCTCCCCATGGTAATAAACTGATGTGCTTACTTGCACAAAACTAAGTCTTCTCTTATCTTTTTTCCTTCTTGACATGGGTAGTATTAAACCGAAAAGTAAATGTTAGGCTGTGCGACAATTCAATATTTATTTTGCATAAACCTTTTGATGATTCGCTTGAATTGCTTTGAACAGCATTTGACTATTTAACATGTTATTTTGTATGCATTTGGCATATTACTGGTATTAGTATTGGCAACACTATTTTAGATATTGCTAAAATAAGTTGTTCTAAAAATGGCCCCAGAAAATCCTTTGTTTTAGGAATTGTGATAAAAGTAGAAAAAGGCACTTTTTCACCTCATTCATCCTTACCATGGTTTTCGCTAATTTATGAGTCATGTACGAGTAACAATAAGCACACAAATCACAAGCACTCGCCACACACTGAGTTTGGAGATGTGGTTTTTCAATCATTTCATTTAATGTAAACATAATACAGCGCAATATCCTGGTACATTATTAAATGACAGATGTTAATGACACATCCCCTTGGCCAGTCCAGCATCCAGTCACTTTTAAGTGCTCATCTTGCAGGTTTATGGAGAAATCTGTTTGAACTGTCTCTAAATTCCATCTGAACATTGATGTGTGGGTGCTGATGATCACTTGGCTGAGTTGTCATCTAGTACACTTCTGAAGCTCACAGTCAGCTTCATTCGGCCTCAGTATTACATTGGTCCAATAGGTTCTTAATGTAGCTGGGCAGTTTGGCCCACTGTTGTCCACACAAACAGAAGGATATTCTTATTTAATTGAATGGTTTTGACTCCAAAATTGGCTTCAGAATGAAATACATTTTTCACATTTGGCCCTAATCCTCTTCTGTACAAAGGTTTTCTTAACAGTACTAATGTGAAATTATTCAACCTTAACGGAGTTATTCAACAATAGTTGCTTCCTAGCCTCAATGAAGGGGTACATGCACTTGTCAGAGCCCATGAAACGATATGTAACCACATTGGATTCCCATGGCAACAATCTGAAAAGAAACAAACATCGTGAACATCAGCTGCTGAGCAGTGTTAAGAGTTATTTATAGTCTCTGATTGGTCTGAAGGTGTAGCTCTGTACTCACGCTCTGGAGAGGAACGGCAGGTATGTGAGGCGAGGGATGCACACTAAGGGCTGGTCCACCAGGATGGCGTTCATGGCCTGCTCCACACAGTACTGGGGGTCCAGAGGGGAAAGGAGGAACTGTTCCACCTCCTCCCTATTAGTGGCACCAAAGGACAAACAGGCGGTCACAGATGAGTAAGTGTGATGGAAACTTCTGAAGCAATGGAGACGAAACTCAGAGAGACACAGGGAGAGCAGGAACTTTGATGGTTTATTTGGAGTTCGGCCGGAGAATTCACAAGACATGTCGTGTGCCACGAGTTGACAGCGGTTGCCAAACCAATTCTGAAGATCTCTACCCCAGACCCATGTATTTAGCCGGTTCTGAGAGAATCATCAACATGCTGCATAACAAGATAAAACAGGCAAAGCACAATAACACCTATCAGCTGACGCCAACAGGCAGGAATAGGGAGACAACACACTGAGAGCACAGCCTGTGCTCACTGAGGTCAGAACAAACTGATAAACTGGGTCAAAGTTGTGGGCCTAGGAAAATATTTCCCCAACAGTAAGTATGCATCACTTTCAAAGCACACACAAACCAAAGCATCCACTCGTAGACCAACATACCCTTATCATTGTGTTGCATTCAAAGTGTATGGTAATAGACAGGATTTTTAATTTTGAATATCAACAGAATAACCCAGGGTCATAATAGAAAGACTTGTTATGCATCTAAACTAGTGACTGTGACTGCCAGGGACTGCGGTCGTCTTTCAATCAGGAGGTTGTGTGTTTGATCCCAGCCCTTGCAGTCAACATGTACCCTTGGGCAAGATACTTAACCCCGAGTTGCTCCCGGTCTGTGTGACAGAATTTGAACTTCCTAGAGCAAGTGGCACTGTTCTGTATGAATGAGGTGTGAATGAAATTGGGATTAAATTATGACTTGTATTCTTTAAGATAAATAAGATAAGAAGTATTTTATTGAACCCAATTTGGGAACATTTTTAAACAGTACTTTGAAGCACTTTGAGGGGTCGTAAAGACTGGATAAAGTGCTTTATGAATTCACTCCATTTACCAAAGTGAACAAGCAAACCAGGAACACAAATGCTACTGTTGAGCAGTTTTTCCACCATACTTATTTAGGATTTTGTTATATATTCCAGTTTCGGTCTAAATTGCTAATTATAATTATCCGATTTACAGTTTAATGACATGCTGTGATTGGATAAGGTGCTCTTTTTGTTGGCATACCGTATCTTGCAGCCGCTAAACATGCCAGTGTCTACAATGTAGGGGCACACGAGAGTCGTCTTCACTCCATCAACCTCGTCAGCCAGCAGCTCATGGGCCAGAGACTCGTGGAAGCCCACTGCTGCAAACTTACTGGCACAGTAATCCTGTCTCAAACAAAAACAAATTTGGGGGGGGACATTTACAAAATGATTTACAATTTGATTAGTTTACTTAAGCAGAGAAGTGTGTGAACGTCTGTAAAGTGTAGTTTTCTTAGTGTTGCAGTGCGGTGTTTCCATGTCCATGGTTCACCTCGACACAAGCTGTGCTGAAGAGACCGAGGACGCTGGCGATGGTGACGATGTGTCCATGATTCTGGGCCTTCATCTGAGGGAGGAAGGCTTTCACTGTCTGAGGCACACACACACACATTCTGTTAGATTGCAGCAGGATCTTATGAGGCAACTAGTACATGAAAACAGTTTTTACTTAAATGTTGCTCAATGCAAAGGAAGCTTATGTTACACGAGCAGCTTCACCTGAGGAGGATTTATGTGGGAAACCCACAGTATAGGCCAAAGTGCGAAGGGGATAAAGCTATTAACGCAAAACATTTTACACGTCACACATAACACTGTGCAAAATAACCTGCTCTGTACAACATCTGATGCTGCAAAGCTTGTGTATTGTGAAAAGTTTTATTTCCAGGTCTTAATTCAGGCAGTGATGAATCATTGTCTGTGTTCGACTAAGAAAATGTGCCAACTGCAAAAAAAGGCAGATTTAATTTTGTGAAGTTAAAATTGGTGCAAATAAGGAAACAGAATGAAAAAAGATGGCAGACAATCAAACCAATCATTGTGTGTGCAGCTTTATAATTTTAGTAAAATCTCACTGCTGTGATGTTTCTGCCAAAACAAGAAAAGTGTTCAATTTTCATACAAACCAATCAAGACAATGACTGAATTCCCTGAAGTGTTTTACATTGTCTTGATTGTGTAACACATGATCTGCTGCTAAACCCCACTCTGACAATGGTTTCAGAATTATATTTTAATAAAACATGAAGCTACACAGACTTACAGACTGTTTTGATCGTTTGCCACCATTTTCCACTCACTCAATGGTATTGAGACAAATTATTAAGTCAATGGCAGCGGGACATTCTGTCTGAACCTAAGGAGGTTTCATCTGGGGGATTCAACACTTAAAGTGTATTTGTTCATATCTCTTTAACAAATGTCATATAGACGAAATAGTTCTCACCCAGAAGAGAGCATGGCAGTTGACTTTCATGCTCCTCTCTATCATTTCATCAGGACAGTCCAACATGCGCTCCCCAGCCACCACTCCAGCGTTGTTCACCAGCATTGTAACGTCCCGGCCCAGATCCCTCCGCACAAGCTCTGCGTTGCGATACACATCATGCCTGTCGGTCACATCCACCGTGTACGTGTACGCCTTACCCCCCTTCTCCCGCACCAGCTTGGCTGTCTGCTCGTTGGAACTGGTGTTGATGTCCCAAAGCACCACCTCTGCCCCATGCTTGGTGAACTCCTGAGCAAAGATCTGACCCAGACCTCCACCTGCTCCGGTGATCAGCACCAGCTCCCCATCAATGGGCTTGGTGCGCGGGCGCAGGACGATCCGTATAGAGTTGCGAATGATGAAGTAAATCACATCCAGTACCATCATCTGGAGGTCCATTAGAAAAATCATCTTGATCTTTTGTACTGCTGAGGGTCTTGATTGTAGGAAGAAATGTCTCAGTAGTCCACAGCGGGTTAGACTTCACACCTGTGAAGGTGTTTCCTGCGACCTGACAATGTGTTAGATTGTGTGAGTGAGAAAGACGCAGAAAGCCAAGCTGGTGTTTTCCTCCTTCTGTGACCATTGGTCTCCGTCCGTGGTTTATTTAAATACTCTCCTCCCGGATTAGAGGAAATACCTTGAGCTCCTGATAAAAAACACTTGTGTTGCAAGCTTCAGATGTATACTATTCCACTATGACTGAGGGAAATAACACGTGCTACGTTAATACGCCAAGTTAAAGATTCTTGAAGTTCCAGGGTCTTTGTTGGACCCTGTTATTCAAAGTGTGCAGCCTGCACATGTTAAACTTAACATATACCTTTAAATAAGACACACATTAGTATATGAAAAAGCTTGCACCTTTATCTGAAAGTAGGCTATATGAGAAATACAATTCCCAATAACTGTGTGAGGATCTCAATGTAGTTTGTCCCCTTGGACTACCAGGACGAATGATAATCTTTCTACTTATATTGTTTAAACTAATTTGGTGTACCAACTTTCAGAGTCAAATGCTGCTAATTTGTTAGTCAGTTCAGAGTTTAGCACTGCGTCCTCACAGCGGAGTTGAAGTAGTGAGATCAAGTTAACATTTTTGCTAACCATTGAGGGACAAGCTTTGGTTCCAGTTCAACCTTGGCACTGCACTGAAATTAACTCATACATCCGAACTTAAGAAGATTATCGATAATGTAAATCTCTGCTTTGTGACGTGCCAAGAAGCCTGCTTATAGTGTGTCACATTTTTGTTTTCTAGGTGAACACTGAAAGCCTTGTTTACCCCGTGTTGGCATAAGAGCCATATTCAGAGAACAATACAATACAGTGTTCTGCATTTAAGTTTAGTGTAGTTATTTGTGTGTCATAGTAGAACATGCTAGGTTAAATGTGTTTTGTTTTTACATTATATTTTAAAGATACTCATATCTAATAATCAACTACATTTTAACTTGGTAAATCTTTATAAAATGATGTCTAGACAAATATTTATTTATTTAAAATACAGAGTATATTTACAGAAATTGGTCATGGCTGTAGGAGTTTAAATACTGTCAAGAATGTTGCCCTTCTGTGACATGCTTAACAACTTTGAAACAGCATCAAAGTGAGCGCCCTATATCTGGTGATGTGGATCCAGCGTGGAGCTGTTTGATTGTTTGCCAGCCACATTCTCAGTTGGATGTGCTAAAAAGATGCATTTCTGACTCTTTTGCTTTCTACTCGTTGGAATCTATCAAAAGCAGGGCAATTTCAGAACTGAGTGTACCGATCCTGCAACTTTTACGACAGAATTCATTGTCCAAATGTAAACATTTAGTTGTAAGAACTGCATTAGAAATAAGATAATCTGCAAGTTTCCTAATGAAAAACTTAGATAAGAAGATAAATAAATCAGGAGAGAACATGTGAGTGGCCCCACGGCTGTAGTGAGATGACTGTCTGTTCAGTGGAGCAGTTAATGGTTGTCATCTCTGCAAGCTACACATTTGTGTAGGGGGGCCACGCTTAGGGAAAAGGATTCACAAATGTCACGTAAATGTTCTCCCTAATATAGAATGGAGCTTGTGAAGTTTTGAGCAATATAACATTTCAGTTTCCCCATTTGCCTGTTTCTATATTCTCACTCCGTACACATAGCAGAAGGGAATCTTAGTTTGAGTGGAGGCCTGCACTGTCCACGCTGTTGTTCTTTTTGCATGAATAACCTCAGCCATAGGAGTTTCATTAATCCTTTCTTTTCACATGTTTGAGGCACACATGGGCCTGGGAAGCTGCTGCTTCACCAAGAGAGAGCAAGAGAGGGAGAGAGAGAGTTAGTCAATTTAAGTAAACATACTTTTTTACTGCGGTTTGAAGTGAAGGTAGATTGTTCTGTACTGATGGTTTCTTTCAAATACCAACCAAATGCATCCAAGTAAGGTTTTTTTGTATTCTGTTTCTGCCACTCATTACACATTGCTGCCATAAGCTAATGCAGTAAGGCATATTATCACTATTGTGTAAGGCTGGGCAATCGGTATAAAAAAGCCCATTTCCCGTGGGAGAATACTTTTTTTCCAGTATTCTTTTTATGATGCTATGGTTAGATAAGGAAAGCAATGCATTGGTGAGGTATACACAGTATCCTGTAAAAGTAGTTATTGTAAACATTATTATGATACTGTATTTAATAATTTTGTTTATCTAAAGGCTCATTTAACTTATATAGTGACCATTAGTCATTACCTTGTTTTGTGTGCCACTTGTAATACCTACAGTAGTAAACTGTTCCTTTAAGAGATACAGAGTTGACATATGAATAACTTCCAACTCACTGACCAGCGCCTCAACTGCTGTTGTCCGCTGACCTGACTGACCACAGATGAGGAGTTAACATATTAAAGAGGACTTTAAAGCACTTTATGGTGAATAACTTCAGACAGGGTAATTAGTAAGTCGTTAACATAGTTGCATGTATGTTGCTGTGGTCCGTCGGGATGACAGTCAGCAGGAGCTCTGTCCCTCTGCTTTGTCTCTCTGTGGCTTTCTTCCTCGTCGGCCCGTGTCAGTCGGGCTGCCGGGAAACAGGACAGTGTTGCCCCGGCCGGGACCCGTCCTGCTCCTGCAAAGGGTGGAGATCCGACCGCACCTTCGGGACCTGCTACTGTGACCAAGCATGTGTGTCCACCCTGGACTGCTGCCACGACTATGATTCAGCCTGCCCAGGTGCGTATGTGTAAATAAACGGCAAGATATAGGCCACATTAAAAAGGTATTCGGGTTCCAGTTTAAAAGTCAGAATTCTCGTTTAGAGTTTTAAGCTCTGCATTCTGACTTTTCAACTCAGAACTCAATTACATTTGTGACCTCAATAATTTTCCTGTGAGCTACATTCAATTGTGATGATATTGGTCAAGGTTTAAAGGTCCCCTGTTATACTCTTTTTCATCAATATAGGTCCCAGATACAAAACATGTATCTGAAGTGTTAGGCTCAAATACCAAACATATCACTCATTGTAGCATCCCATAAACCCCTCTGTTTCAGGCCTGTTTCAAAAGTGCTGATGTATGTTACTTTAGATCAGGGGTCTCCAATCTTTTTTAGGATGAGAGCTACTTTCAAAAAATAAAACAAGTCGTGAGCTACTTTTACTCCTCTTTTTTTTGTTTTTTGCAGTGTATATATTTAGCACATTTTAACATTATTATATGCACGGTCAAACTCCTTATGAAGTGGTGAGGTGCCGCCAGGGCCGGTCCTAGAAATGTTGGTGCCCTAGGCGAGATTATGATTTGGTGCCCCCCCCCCCCTCCTAGCAATACACAATAGAATATATGAAGAATACATGAAAAATCTCTACAAAAGTCCAATACACTACAAAAACTGAAACGTATTGACATGTTGGTTATATACATAAAGAAGGTTTCAAATGTATTTTTGAAGATTTTTTGTAACATTTTAAGGCGAGACACGGCAGGCAAAAACATCGTTTTTCAACGAAACGATTCTTGTTCAGTTTTCATCTTCCTCACCCTCTCAAACTTTGAGTTGCGCGCGCTGCTAAAGAGACGCGCTACCATGGAAACCAAACAATGGTGTAGCTGTATTAAAGTCCGAGTGGAAACAGTCGTGAGTAAATCTGATTTTGTCAGAAATTGGGAGAAATATGACCCCGGGAGGAAACCGGGGAGAGGGCAATTAAATCGGGAGTCTCCCGCGAAAATCGGGAGGGTTGGCAAGTATGAGTCGACACACACACACACACACACACACACACACACACACACACACACACACACACACACAACACACACACACACACACACACCACACACACACACACACACACACACACACACACACACACACACACACACACACACACACACACACACACACATACTGTTCGTATTTAGTCTCCTGATTTTAAATGGGAATTAATCATTTGAGTGTTCCCAAAGCACCAGTGTTCTGCAGTTTGTGTGGGCCTAGTACTGTTGCACAGTTTTGGAAGATTCATAGCTAACCACACTGAAGATTATGGATTATCTCATATTTTTAAGAGTCAATGTGTCCTCCCCTCACCCTCTAACATCACCAGATAATTTAAGGGGTCATTTCTCAAAAAATGGACCGCCTTAGTATGGTTTGGTCCCTATTTCCATAGCCCCCACCAAAAATATTTTCCACCAGCCGCCACGTGCATAGGGTAGATTCATTTAATTACATTTCCTTTTTTTTTTTGGTGTATTTTTTACATTTTGGATTTGCTTGGCGAGCTACTTATTGAGGGCTTGCGAGCTAGCGGTCGACGTGTTGGAGACCCCTGCTTTAGGCTGGAGCCACACGAGGACGATAACGCAAACGGACTGAAATCGATATCAAAAAAGTCTTCCGTCCATAAAAGGGGTGCTCCGCCTATATGGGCAACTCTCCACCTATCAGGGAAATGAGAGACCGCTCGAAAGCGCTGGAGAGGCTGTAGTACATATGCCAGGCCTGTAAGTGGCACTGTAGTCTTCCACAAAAGCAAAAACATCGTTTTTCAAGTACTGGTCAATTTTGAGATTTTGTGCTATTTTGATTCTGTAACATGTTTTCTTTCAGGCTTTTGGAAGGAAAACGTACAAAATACACATTTAAGTGTTTATTTTTACTATAGTTTGTCTATTTGCGTCTGTAGATTTCTCCTAAATACACCAAAAGTTAGCATTCTAACGTAACATAAAGTACCGCGACCGCTGTGTGCACCATGTCAACAGAGATATCGTTGGAAAGCTGTGTCTCTCCTGCACAATCTCATCGGATCCAAATATGGTCATTTCCTTTGTATCAGCAACCAATCGTGAAAGCACAAAGGGGTCTTAAACCAAGAAACGAAATCTCATTGGCTGGTGTCAATTTCTGACAACGTGATTCGTTCAGATGCGTCACGTGGTGTGCTAAAACACTTCCTGGTTAGCTTTCCGCTAGAAATTGAAATCTCAAAATGGCAAAAAGAACGGCGAAAAAAACGTTCACAGAGAAGACGA